GTCAAGAATGTTCCTAAGTTGTCTGGCCTTGTGGAAGATTTGGGAGACATACCAGAGTCAGTCTAACATGGGAGCCACCCACTGATAGCCATCACAGAGTTCACATTCATAACTTTCCAGTCTTCTTTTTCTTTCTGATTTATTTTTCTGTGTATAGTGGTATGGAGGGCCTCATGCATGATAGGACAATACTCTACTACTAGGCCACATTCCAAAGTTCCCACCAGACTGTAACATCCGTGCACTTGAGAGCCTTGTTCGACAGCATGGCTGAAATAGAAGAGATGTTTGAAAGGGATGCACTGAGTAAATGCATCAGGAAAGGGGACTCAAGATGGTGTGTCATGAAACTCTTGTATTCCCAGTCCTGAGTTGCTTGTGGCAATCTTTAGTCAAGATGATGAAATGCAAATCCATGTGACTTCTAACTTTTTTTTTTTTTTGGGTCCAGTCGTGGGGCCTGAACTCTGGGCCTGGGTGCTGTCCCTCAGCTCTTCAGCTCAAGGCTAGCACTCTACCACTTGAGCCACAGCGCCACTTCTGGCTTTTTTCTTATGTGGTGCTGAGGAATCGAACCCAGGGCCTTGAGCATGCAAGGCAAGTGCTCTACCACTGAGCCACCTTCCCAGCCCCCAATGACTTCTAACTTTTAAAGTTAGCAAACTGGTTTGATCCTACAGTGACAGAGCCAACATTTTGAATGTCATGGTCTTAGAGAATCAGAGACTTTGGAAACAAATGCCATTAGGGGGAGAAAACAAGCACAGATTATAATGTTATATTGAAAAACTAATTTTAGCTTTTTCTTTAGAACGCTTACTTTTTTTGTTTGTTTGTTTGTTTGGGTCCCGTCATGGGGCCTGAACTCTGGGCCTGGGCACCGTCCCTCAGCTCTTCAGCTCAAGGCTGGCACTCTACCACTTGAGCCACAGCACCACTTCCAACTTTTTTCTGAGCCACCTTCCCAGCCCCTAGAACGCTTACTTTTTAAACATTTGTTTTTTATTAACTTGTATGATCAATATAAAAATGACAATAATTCTAATATGTAATGTACATTATATTATATTACAATGTACATTAGATAATTCTATTTTACCTATTATGTCATATACATTATGCATTTTATATTATATATATGTATTAGTGAGCTTCATTTTAATGTTTCCACCACATCTCAGGCAGCATTCTGTGGCGTTGGTAACTCTCAGAATACACAAGGAAACCCTTTCAGGTTTTCTCATTCTAATTAACTGAATCTTAACAGTTTCCTGATCTTCTGTGAGGCACAAGGCTGGAGTCCCTCACAGTCTGTGCTGCACTGTCCTAAGACCACAAAAACAATATACTGTCCTGTGAGTCTGGGCTTTCCTCTCCCGCTCCTCCCTGCCTTCTGCGTGTGGCTGTGATGCTGACTGCTGGGGGTTAAGAAGGCTCCACTCCCGCTTTGAGGACCTATTTGCCCTTAGGCATCTGTGTGCTCAAGAAGTGACTCAGCCCAGTCACTGTTTTCAATCTCTTCTGTGTCAGTGTCAAAGTTGGGTCTGATTCTTTGTTTGACCCTGAAATTTACCATTCAAAGCAGTCTAGTTACCAGACTCACAATGCTCTCCTACAGTAGAGCTTCTTGTGAGACGGTTCTTTAAGAAATAATGAGAACAGACTCACTCATTGTGGGAGGAGTAAAAGCTTCAGAGGGAGAGAGGGAGTCTTTCTTCTTCACCTGTAGTGTTCAGCATGGCCACATGCAAATACTGAAATGCCTTCCTCTGGGAAATGCCCTGTGCCCTGCGTCCTGCTCCCTTGATCTAGCCATGCTGAATTTATTTCTGCTTCCTATCTCCCCATTCCTGTGGGGGCGGGGGGGGGGGGGGATGTTCACCTGTCTCTCTTGTTTTCCAAGCCCAGAGCCTTTCACCTGCTCCTGTGCACCTTGTAATCATCCTCTCCGCAAATTAAGGGTTTGTTTTGCTTTGCTTTTAAAAAATCTTTCTTTTCATCTCTCCTCCCTGGACCCCGATGGACGGGGGAGGCAGTGCTGTCCTCCTTTTCAGCCTGTGTCTGGCCACCGTTCCTCTTCTGGGCATCCCTGCTGCCGTTTCGCCTCCACCTCTAAGAACAGCAGGAAAGCGATGTGGACCTGCAGACTCCCGTCCTCTCTGCATTGCACAAACTCACCTCCCAGCGTCGCTGGCCAACGTGCACATGCCAGGATGCACGTCCTGACTCCTCCGTTTCTGATGAGACACTTCGCTGTCAAGAAAGCGAGAACAAACATATTAAAGCTAGGTGTGTCTGACTCTTCCCTGAGGCCTTGCTGCTCCAACAGCAAGCCCCAGGAATTCCTTCTCCCAGCTCTTCTTGGATCAGCACGGGAGTCAAGCTGACTCTGAGCCCTGTGCGGGTAGAACGTGAAATTGCTTGGAGCGCTGTGGCCTGGGAGCTGAGGCTTGGAGCTGAGGCCTGCATGCACACAGGGAGGCTGAGGATGGGTGCAAGGGCCTCAAGAGGAAGCCTACATCAACCAGGGCTGACAAGACAGAGAAAACTCATTTGAAACACAGAGGCAGGTTTGGTGGCTGTGGACATTCAAAGCATGACTCATGTTCTAAGGAGAGTACGGCCTTTCTTTTGTTGTGTTTTCAGGATGCAGTGATTTGCAGGGAGCTTTCATTGGCTGATCCCAGATCCTGGCTTCCTTTCCCTGCCCAGCAAGACACGAATGAGGCTGCTCAGAGTGAGGTAGGTCTCGCATTTGTCCTGCATCTGACTGCTATACAACCACAGTTTTGATTCCTCCCCAGCTGCACTAAACATGAGAAAGCTCTCACCTAGCAGGCCTGGGCTGCCAGAGCTCTGTGGCCCAAAATGCTCCATACGATTGTTCTGGGGCAGCTGCCACTGTAGCTATACAGACAGAATTCCCAGATCTGCCCCCCCACCTCCCAGGTGCCATTAACCTGTCACCTCTGGTGTCAGGGACATTGTCCATGGAGAGTCAGAGACTTCTTCCATGAGGAGCAAGTTCCTCCCAGTGCGAAAATATGAGCTGCCTCTTCTGCGCCTAACTTTTGCAATTAGTGAGAAGATCCTAATGAGCAGCTGAGCCAAAATCAGAAAGAAGAGGCTTGAGTCCTTGAAAAAGAGTCTTAAATATGCGGAATCAAAAGTCACTGCAGGTCTGGAAGGATGTCCATGAAAAGCTCAAAGGAGAGACAGTGTCTTTCCACTAAAGCAACAACCATGTAGTCATAATCTCTGAGGCTCTACCCTTTAGATTTCTGTTCTAATTCTATAATTTTTTCCTCATCTCCTTGTTTTAAGAATGGCTCTTTCTTGTTTTCCTGAGAGCTCAATGTGCATCAGGAGTATGTTTATTGAGAATTACTCTGATCTTCTGATGTAGGCACTTATAGCTATAAATTTCACTCTCAGCACTACCTTTGTTGGGTCCTGCAGATTTTGATAAGCCATATTTCATTGTCACTTGAGTCTATGCCATTTTTAAATTTTCATTCCTAATTTCCACAGTGAAGCACTGATTTTCAGAAGTGTGTTTCAGCCCCCATGTGTTTGAATCATTTTTATAGTTTTCCTTGCTAACAGTTTCTAATTTTATTCTGTTATGATCTGTTAGGATGCAAGAAACTATTCTGATCTTCCTTTTGGTACTTTCTGAGACTTGCCTTATGGTCTCAGATATTATCTGTTTTGGAGAAACTTCCAAAGGCTTCGGAGAAGAGTGTGTGATCTTCGGTATAGTAGAATATTCTGGAAGAATGTATGGTTTTCTCTCAAGAGGAACATTCTAGAAAAATATGTAATCATCTGCTCTAGAGTGGCACATTCTATACATCTGTTACATTCCTTTCATAATGGTATTGTTTAGTTCTAAGATATCTTAGTCGTTTGGGGGCCTGTTTTATCTAATGAGTTAGGCACTGGGGTCAGACAGTATTATTGTATCTGGACTTGTCTGTCCCTTTATTTCCTTCTTGGTTTATAAACTTGGGGACACCAAGATTCGGTGCGTATATATTTAGATATATTGTGGTATCTTCTGCATGAATTGTTCCTTTTATCTCTTCTGACTAGTTTGTGATTGAAATCTGCTTTGTACCCAGTATGGGTACAACTACTGCTCGTTGACGACTCCTTCGACTTTTAGTCTGTGTGTATTCAGTTGTAAGGTATATTTCTTGTAGACATAAACCTTGGGGCCAAAGTGGCAATCTGTGTCTTCTGATTGGCGCATTCTCATGTAGGGTTATGACTGAGGGGTGCTTAACTGTTTATGGAGGTTCTGTGCAGGTGTTTTCCAGGTGATCCTAGTGGTGTTTGCGTGCTCACCCTCCTCTCTCTCTCTCCCTCCCCTCCCCCAAGGGCTCTGAAATTAGATGGCCCTATGTGGTGAGAACCCCTCTCAAGTCTTGCACCTCATGGAAGGGCTGCCACTAGTGACTCTACGTCTGTGCTGTGGCGGCGGGCTGGGCTACCCAAGCCGAGTCAGGGGCACTGAGCTGCGGCCAGCCTGGCAGATGCGGCCGCAGCGGGGTGACTCCACCGCAGCCAGCAATGGCGGCTTCATCTTCCTTTCCTCAACAGCTTTGTCTCCCGAGGCCTGGGTGCTGTCCCCCCAGCTCTTCAGCTCAAGGCCGGCGCTCTACTGCTGGAGCCACAGCGCCACTTCTTGTTTTCCGGTGGTGCATTGGCGATCAGCCTCCCGGTGTTTCCTGTCTGGGAAGGGGATGTGCAGGGCTAACGGAAACCCTCTAGGATGGAGCGGCAGGAGCCATATTCCAGAGTCCTGTGGGGTCGGCTTGGACTCCGCTCAGGTGAGGAGGAGGACACGGCCCACGGCCGCCGACCTGCGGGAACTACATTACTCAGAAAGCACTGCGCGCCGCCGGAAGCTGCGCAGCCAATGAGCAGTGGAGTGACACGCATTTTCCGGTTGGTAAAAGCCGGGTTGGGCGGGACTTCCTGCCGTCCGCGTTTGGCGCCGGTTTCCCGGCGGTTAGTCCGTGTTCGGGGTGTGGAGCCTGCGCGAGGTGACTGGAGCCGACGGGAGGGGTTGGCGGGCGTGGCGTCCGCTGGGACCCCAGCCGCAGTTCTGAGGGAGAAGACCCGGCGACGGCCACGACAGCCGCGCCTGGCCCGCGACTCCAATGGCGGCCGCCACCTCGAGGGACGCGGCTCAGGTGAGCGTCCCGCGGCCCCGGCCCTCCTTGCCGAGAGATCGAGGCCGGCCTGGGCTCTGTGAGCCGCTGGGATTCGGATCCCTGGGCCCGGCTGTCCGGGGAGCTCTGAGTGAAGTCTCAGCGTCAACGCCGAGGCCCGGCGTATAGCAAGGCCGCCCTGCGGCCCTTCCCGTGATCCGCCCTGCAGTCTGTCCTGTGGTCCGTCCTATGGCCCGCCCTGTGGTCCGTCCTGAGGCTTGGAGGGACCCCTGGGCCTGGAGGGGTCCGAAGGGCCTAGGAGGGACAGTGGGTGGGAATGCTTGGGATGGGAACAGTGTCTACAAAACACGCGGTGGGGGGCTGGGAAGGTGGCTCAGTGGTAGAGTGCTGACCTTGCATGCATGAGGCCCTAGGTTCGATTCCTCAGCACCACATAAGCAGAAAAAGCTGGAGTGATGCTGTGGCTCAAGTGGTAGAGCGCTCATCTTGAGTTGAAGAGCTCAGGGACAGATCCCAGGCCCAGAGTTCAGGCCCCAAGACCAACCGAAAAAAGAAAAAACAAAAACATGCGGTGGTTTCTGGCTATTTCTTAGCAGAAGTTGATATTCGTTATCATGACGATAGAAATAGGCCTCTGTGGGAAGTGGGGCCATCAGTTCACCTTCTGACTCCGTGGGTGAAAGGGAAAGGTGGCACCCCAAGGCTCTCTGGGGTTTTGGTGGTTGGGATTAGAAGCCCACCCACTGGGATGACAAAGTCACTAGTAGAAGAGCTTCCCATGGGTCGTCAAAAGCTTAGATTTTCTCCATCTTAAGAGTGTGAATGTGGGCTGGGAAGGTGGCTCAGTGGTAGAGCGCTTGCCTTGCATGCCTGAGGCCCTGGGTTCGATTCCTCATCACCACATAAGCAAAAAAAAAAAAGCCGGAAGTGGCGCTGTGGTAGAGCGCTGGCTTTGAGCTGAAGAGCTGAGGGACAGCTCCAGGGCCCAGAGTTCAGGCCCCACTACCGGACCCCCCCCCCCCCAAAAAAAAAAAAAAAAAGAGTTTGAATGTTCCAGAGACACATTAATGGAGACAGGAAGAGGGCAGCCCCATGGTAAAAGTCTGGAGATGGACAACAGGTAGTAGCTACAGGCTGCCCCTGGATGTATCTATGTCTGTACGGACTGTAATAAAGAAGGGGAGTCCTAGTCTTGGGATCATTGTGTTCTTAGCAGCCTTGAAAGGTGAGGGTGGCCATTTGGGGTTTACAGTGGGTATGGGGCCCATCACAATACCATTTGTTTGAGAGACATGGTCATACTGTAGGAGAGAAGATGGTCAGGTGGTTGCCAGTGTTTGCAAAGAAAGAAGAGAGTGAGATGGACCATGAGCTAGGGAGTGATGGATGTAGTATGAAAGTTTCCCCAGAATTTTCTTGGCAGCCTTGATGTGATTGCAAGGTTTCCGACTGGGAAAGTCCAGCGGTGGACCCACTGGCCTGTAGTGGCTGGCTGTTGTAGCATTGTTTGGAAGGAAGATTATCAGGTAAAAGGGTTGTGACTCTTGAGAGGTATCAGGTACACCATTAATGGGGAGCCCCAGTAGACGTTGGGAAGCACAGACAGTTATTATGGCAAATGTTGATGCAAGGAACACAGGCAAGTGGCCCCCACCTCAGTGTGTGGGTTGCTTGCAGCATGGACAGGCTGTGTTCTGTTTGCATACTGAGTGCTGAGAAGAGTAAGGAGGGAGGGCCTTCCTTAGCTCTGAGGATTGAAAATAGCTGCCAGTGTAAGAAGGGTTTGGTCCAAACTGTGTGTCCATCTAGAGAGAGCATTTGAAGTGGTCATCCTGTGGATTTCTTTTTGAAGTGGCCATCCTGTGGTCTTCCTTTTGAAGTGGTGGTCCTGTGGACTTCCTTTTGAAGTGGTGGTCCTGTGGACTTTTGTAACATGAAGGTGAAAAACGAACCCATATTTGGTTTTGTATAAGAGTACCACATGGAAGACCTGCGTACATTTGCAAGGAATGGATACAGCTCTACATGATAGCCACAGACCTTAGTTGGTATCTCCATGCTCACCTGCTGGTCAGTAGAGAGGAAAACATGAGAGCCCAAGCAGAGAGTGGACATTAGTAGCAGTGGGATCTGGAATCTTCTCTGAGCTGGCAAATGTGGCACCGAGGATGGATGTGAAGTGCTGAGTTTCATCAAATCACAGTCAGTACCTGCAAAATCTGATGATGGAATGTTCTGTTCCAACTGTAGCTGGTGTGTGGGACCTTCCAAGATGTGGTCATTTATTTCTCCCCTGAGGAATGGAAGTTCCTTAATGTGGCCCAGAGGCACCTGTACCTCAGTGTGATGTTGGAGACCTTTGCACTTAGAACCTCCGTAGGTAAGATCATCACATTCATCACTACCCTGGCCTCTTGGCTTCCTCTGTCTTCACAGGCAGCTTTTGCAGCTAGTCATTGGTTTCTGATACTTTGCCACTTCTTTTTGTCATGTGTGCTATGGTTGCTGTTGCTGAGTTGTGTGTACTGCCTGGAGCAGCTCTGGTGACACATCTTTAATTATCCCCTGCATGGACTGGGGAAGAAGATTCCTGACAGTCACCTCGATGGTTCCCCTCTTGACCTTCAGCCCGACTGGGTGACAGTTTACATGCATCACACCTCTGAGTCCAGTTCTACCCTTCTTACCTCTGATCTTTCTCACAGTGCTCGCGCTCTCTCTCTCTCTCTCTCTCTCTCTCTCTCTCTCTCTCTTGCTCTCTCTCGCTCTCTCTCTGTTTCAGCATTGTTGTGCCTGGCTGTCCTTCCAGGACAGCTATTTCCTTTCCTTCTGGCTCTTTTGTGCTGAGTGGCCCAGGACAGTGTGTAGGGCTCACGTGCTTTGTCTTTCTCTAGAGGAGAGGCTCATACTCCCTCCCAAGCTGCAAGAGCACTTAGGAAAAACCCTAGCTGCTTCATAGGATTGACATAAACACTTGGATATGCTAAGGGTAGTTCAGGGGAAGTGACATTTTGGCTGTTGTGTTACAGTACAGGAGACTGCCCTGTGTGCTAGTGATTTTAGTCCATTGCCCACTGGACAAACCCCATGAAAAGCACATTCTGTCACACCACAGGTGTCTCTCCACCCTTCCTGGGCCCCACCTTTCTTATCCATATACACCAATAGCTCCAATCTGCTGAGCTTTCTGGAATTTTCTCCAAAACTAAGGTGTTTTGCAGTATGCAAATATACAAAGAAATACCAATGTACATTCTAGTTGTTTTCCCCCACCTGGCCTCCAGCACTATGCTGCACTGTGTGTGCTTGTTTACCCACTGGTGGGTCTTGGAAGAAAATTGATTGTTGTGTTTGGGGGGTCTCGTGGTAGGTGAAAAAAAGAGTAGCATGAAGTAGTATTCCCGAAGTCTGCTGACAGATTGGAAGTTGTGCCTCTCCTCTTTATGCCAATCAGTCTTCGTCTCCCATGTTGCTGTAGTTTTCTGGATTTTCAGTCTTTAGAAGTACATCTTTGTGAAGCAGCCCCTTATGCAAATGGAACCCCACTTCCACATCAAGCCTGTCTGCCGTGCTGGGAGTGTGGCTTAGTGCCATAGTTCATGCCTCCCTTGTACAAGACCCTGGGTTTGATCCCAGCACCACAAAAGGCTTCTAGCTCTTTTCTTTCTCCCACTGTAGTCTATCTGCATTTCATCGTGCCTTTCTGATTTCAGGTTGTGGACACAGAGTAGGCGGTAAGGAGGTGCGTGGGCACAGTGGTTCTGTGGCAGGGGTGGCATTCTCGAGGACTCCAGCTACAGATGCTTCCAGCCTGAGGGCTCGTCCCTGTGGTGTCTGTGCTTCAATCTTGAAAGACATCTTGTGCCTGGCTGGTCTGAGTGTGCAGAAGTGGTCCCAGGGAGGGGCGTGTGCAAGCCTGTCCACACACCAGAGGCTTCTTGGTGCGGAGAAACCTTTTAAGGAGGACACTGATGGGACTGCACTGTCAAAAAGCTGTGAGTCTTTTGTGTCAGAGAAATACTTAACTACTTGTAGCAGCTTTTGGGAGAGTTTCCCATCTTTTTCTGAACTTCAGCCCCTCCTCACCATTCTTAACAGTGAGGAGACCAGCAGCTGTGACTCTGTGGAAGCACCAAATTATGCAGAAAATTACTACAAATTGTTTGTGTGCAGCAAAGCTCCCATCCACAAAAAGATGTCTATTTATAACCCAAGACCCTGCACAGGGAACAATCTCTCTGAACCTACCAAGAGTGAGCCATTGTGCCGCAAGGACCACTCACATGCACAGCCCCACAGAAGCCACATTAGAGGAAAACAGTATGAGTGTAAGGAATGTGGCAAGTCCTTTAAGGAAAGGAGATCCCTTACTGCACACCAGAGAAACCACACTGGAGAAAGGCCTTATGGGTGTAGCCAATGTGGGAAATCCTTTAAGCGTAAAAGCACCCTTACTGTGCACTTGAGGGACCACACTGGAGAAAGGCCTTATGTGTGTAGAGAGTGTGGGAAATCATTCAAGAGAAAAGCCACACTTACTGTACACCACAGAAGCCACACTGGAGAACGGCCTTATGAGTGTAGGGAATGTGGGAAATCATTTAAGGAAAAAGGTGTCCTTACTGTACATCAGAGAGTACACACTGGAGAAAGGCCTTATGTGTGTAATGTTTGTGGAAAATCCTTTAAGAAAAAAAGTGTCCTTACTGTGCATCTGAGAAACCATACTGGAGAAAGGCCTTATGAGTGTAAAGATTGTAGAAGATGCTTTAAGCAAAAAACTGGCCTTAACACACACCTGAGACGCTACAGTGGAGAAAAGCATTGCGTGTGCACAGGTCAGAAGTCAGTTATGGAAAAACGTCACCTTATTTTTCCTAAGAGAGAACACTCTACAGAAAGTTCTTATGAGTGTAGAGAATGTGGGAAGTCGTTTAAGAAAAAAACTACACTTACAGTACATCACAGAAGGCACACTGGAGAAAGTTCTTATGAGTGTAAAGAATGTGGGAAGTCATTTAAGGAAAAAAGTCACCTTACTTTTCCTAAAAGAGAAAGGCCTTATGGGTGTAGAGAATGTGGGGAAATCTTTGATCAGTTCAGTGACCTTAATGTGCACCTGAGTAGCCATAATGGAGAAAGGCCTTATGTATGTAGAGAATGTGGGAAATCATTTAAGCATAGAAGTTCCTTTAGTATACACAAGAGAGACCACACTGGAGAAAGACCTTGTGAGTGTAAAGATTGTGGAAAGTCATTTAAGCACAGAGATGCTTTCCGTTCACATGAGAGAGCACACATTGAAGAAAGGCCTTGTGAGTGTAGAGAATGTGGGAAATGCTTTAAGCGAAACAGTTCTCTTACTGCACACCAGAGAATTCACAGTGGAGAAAGGCCTCACGTGTGCACAGTATGTGGAAAAGCCTTTAAGGAAAAAAATTACCTTACTGTACATTTGAAAGGTCACACTGGAGAAAGACCTTTTGAGTGTAAAGATTGTGGAAAGTCATTTAAGCACAGAAGCAGCTTTAGTTCCCACAAGAGAGTACACACTGGAGAAAAGCCTTATGAGTGTAGAGAATGTGGGAAATGCTTTAAACAAAACAGTTCTCTTACTGCACACCAGAGAGATCATACTGGAGAAAGGCCTCATACATGCACAGTATGTGGAAACGCCTTTAAGGAAAAAAGTTGCCTTACTACACATTTGAGAGGTCACACTGGAGAAAGACCTTTTGAGTGTAAGGATTGTGGAAAGTCATTTAAGCACAGAAGCAGCTTTAGTTCACACAAGAGAGTACACACTGGAGAAAAGCCTTATGAGTGTAGAGAATGTGGAAAATGCTTTACTCAAAGCAGTTCTCTTACTGTACACAAGAGAATCCATTCAAGAAAGGCCTTATAAGTGTACAGTTGGTATGTATAAAAATAGAACAATGAAGCTAGGTGCTGGTGTCTCATGCCTAAAATCCTGGCTACTCAGGAGGCTGAGATCTGAGGACAGAGGTTCAAAGCCCACCCAGGCAGGAAAGTCCCTGAGACTCATCTCCAATTAATCACAGAAAAAGCCAGAAGTGGAGCTATGCCTCAAGTGGCAGAGTACTAGTCTTGAGCACAAAAGCTCAGGACAGTACCTATGCCCAGACTTTAAACCCCTGGATCGAAGGGGGAAAAAATACCAATAACAATGAACCCTGTGATAGGAAGTAGAAAAGGTGGAAGAGAGATACCAAGAGAAAAATAACTGGAGTAGATTGTGTACAAGAGAGGAAATTCACCCAATGTATATCTGATACAATAAAACTATGAAACACAACTGTCTAGAGTTGGGGGGGGAACACCATCTAAGACAAGATACCTGGAAAGGAGTCCCTTCAGACTATTCCCATAGGTGGCCCAGGGGCCATGTGCTAAAACCTAGCTCAGGAGGTGGATCAGAGGATTCCAAGAGGCCTCAGCCTACTGCACACTCAGGGTTCAGCTCCTCAGTCCTGCCCAAGTCTGTGTACCCCTGCTGACTTCCAAGAGCTGCTGTCCTCAGCACCAGTCATGGGTCCCTGTCCTCTTGTGGAGCCAGCTGGATGAAAGATAAGAAAATGCTGGAGTGGTCCAAGATTTTTACTAAGAAAGGAATTAGGAAGGAGGGATTTACAGCAGTGTGGCTAAGAGAAAGCCCCTGGAAAGACTCCTGGAAGAAGCCTCTTGGCCTTTGTTCCAGATGATTCAGATAGGGGCACCCACATCTGCCCAATGAATAGAGAAAACTACATTGCTCAGAAGGCACTGGGAGAAAGGTATGATGTGGAACCAATGATTGGTAAGGACACAGTCATTTCCAGTTCAAAATTATTAGGGTGGGTCAGGATTTCCAACAAGGCACTTGGCTCTGTGGCCTGTTCCTAGAAAACTACTCTAACTTTGACAGTTTGTGTCTGGGTAAAGATGACCTGAGCAGAAAGGCCCAGAGTTACAGGCAGTGTCCACACATTGTGTGGTCATGGACTTGCTAAATCCACAGTAATCCTAGGAAAGCCTCATGTGTAGAGGGTGTGGGAAATCATTGGCACTTGGAGGTGGATCTAGCTCCTGTGAGAAGAGTACAGGCTGGAGAAAGGTCTTTTGGGTGTATCGATTGTAGGAAATCCTTCATAGAAAAAAATGTATCTTACTGTATACCAGAAAAATCTCACTGGAGAATGACCTTATGGGTACACAGTATGTGAAAAACATTAAGTCAAAAAGTTACTATATACCAAGAGGACATACTGGAGAAAGACTTATGAATTAGAGAATGTGACATAATAAACACCTGGGATCCAGGCCATTTGAATGCAGACAGTGTGGGAAATCCTTTAAGGAAAACACATGCTCTTCCTGCACACCAGAAAGTCCACACTGGAGGGAGCCTCGTGAATACAAAGAATATGGGAAAGTCCTTTAAAGGTAGGCCTGCCTTTATATCAGAAAGGCCAACACTAGAGAAAGGCTTTATGAATGCAGAGATTGCAGGAAGTCATTTACAAGCATATTCTCTTATGATACACTAGTCCATACTGGAGAGCAGTCCATTCTCAGAAAGTGAAAAACCCTTTAACCAAAGATCTTGCCTTTAAAGATCTTTAACCAAAGACTACACAAGAGATTATGAACGTTGAAAATGTGGCAGAACCTTCAAGCAAATTCATTACCTTAGTGTACATGAGTCTATACTGTCTTAAGGTGTTAGGAGTGTGAAGAACGAGGAGGGACAATCTTTGTCACAAGAGGAGTATTCAGCACCTGAAATTTCACAAACCTGAGTGTGGACAGTGTGTGAGGGGTGCTTTTAGCTAAAATAGTGCCCTGTGACCCAGGAAACAGCTCACCCTTGTGGGGAAGACCACTAGAGAGACCACATGGACAGAGTACAGCCAATAGAAAGTCTTTTATTAGCTGGCCAGTGACTTCACTGGGGCTCAGGGACCCTTTCTCTCCCCCCCTCCACCCAGTGCAGTACCAAGCTTATTTTCAGGTCTGCTTTTATAGCAGAAAACCTACCTCCTTGTTTGCTCAGGAGTGGAGAGTCCCTAATGGTTCTTTCCTGCAGGTGCAAGCCAGGCAGGATGTTACAGAAGGTAAACAGTGCTGTAAGCAAGTATCATGACCTGTTTCTATGACTATCTCTATGATCGTTACCTAGAGACCGTAAAGGAAACAGTGGACAAGGGATACATATATCTTTAAACATCAAACCATAAGGAACTAGGTAGAGGTGCAGTCCTTTCTTTAAGATGGAGTCACAAAAGCAAATTGGAGTTACAGAAGCTCAGAAGTCTAAGATGTCTAAGATGGTGAGGTTTAACAAGATATATTACACCATGGAGAAAGGCCTTATGAATGCAGCAAATGTGGGAAATCTTTCACACAATGTTGGTTTTCCAAACCAAAAGGATTACACCATAGAAAAGCCCAGTGAAAGCTGCAGATGTGAAAAGAACCCTTCCAGCACAAAGTTCCTGGTTGGGAAGAACTTTCAGTCTGCACAGGATGTGATTTTTGTGCAGTATCTCTCTACTTGAGAACCGTAAGAATCTTGTCTGAAAGCCGGGTGCCCATGGCTCACACCTGTAATCCTAGCTTCTCAGGAGGCTGAGATCTGAGGATTGTGGTTCAAAGCCAGCCGGGCAGGAAAGTCCATGAGACTCTTATCTCCAATAAACTGCTAGAAAACCGGAAGTGATGCTGTAGCTCAAGTGGTAGAGCACCCACCTTGAGCTGAAGAGCACAAGGACAGCACCCAAGCCGAGTTCAAGCCCCACGACCGAAAAAAAAAAAATCTTGTCTGAATTTGAATTACCCACTTGCACATGTCCACTGAGTTAACAGGTGAAGTTTGCAGGAGCTGTCCTATACACTCTGGATTGTTCAGGGACCTCACCAGATGAACTCATGGCAGCACCCTTAGAGACATCATCCTCCACTGTCGCCTTGCCATGTGAAGAAAGGCTACCTGGCATACTGAGGCAAAGGCACATACATCTCCCCTTCTCTGGGAGAATCTGAAGCAACTAGAACCATTAGGGCAACTTTATTCTGTTAGCTGAATGATCATATCATGCTATGATACCTTTCTGGGCAGAGGAGCTCAGTTCTCGTCCAGATATGAGCTTGCATGAGACAGTTAGCTTTTTCATGGAAGTATGAGCTTGCATGAGACAGTTAGCTTTTTCATGGAAGTTGGTCTCACATGACACTTGTACTCCAAGTTCTAACTGGTCACTCTGCCTACATGGCTGTGGTGTGTGCAGTAATAAGAGGATTGTTTCAGCCAGTTTCATCTTATAACAGTGCTGGGTTACATTATGTACAATCAAGCACTATTAATATAAGGTAGTAATTTGCATATGGGGCCCCACTGACAAAAATATAATGGCAAAAGTAGTTTCTGTTCTGCTTATTGCCTGATGTGGATTGCTGCCCATGTCCTCCAAAAGAACAAGGAGAGCTTTCTCAGAAGAAGCAGGGAGAATGGCAAAGAGACAATATTGCTCATCATCCCAGGCCATAAATGCAAAACAACTCTTGAGATTCCATCTCACCTCAGTTAGATTGGCCAACATTTTGAATTTGAATGAGAATGTTGGGGGAAAAACCCTGTGGGAATGTAAACAATTACAACCTCTCTGGATAGCAGTCTAGAGGTTCCTAAAAGACTAAACAGACCTTCCCTACGACCCAGCCACACCACTCCTAGGCATCTACTCTGAGCATCGTGAGCCAGGATATGACAGGGACACCTGCATATCCATGTTCACTGCTGCACTATTCACAATAGCAAAGCTATGGAAACAGCCCAGATGCCCCACAATAGATGAATGGACCCACAAAATGTGGCCTATATACAATGGAATTTTACAAAGACATTAGAATAAAATAATGTCATTTGC